AGACTGTAACAGTAAGAAATTGACAAATCACAATCGATTATTCTTCTGTACTTTGTCTGTGATTGGTCAATTTCTTACTATTACGGCCTACAACTTTCCATTGTAGACGGCTCTTTATATTGCGACTGTGAATTATATCGTTCTTGAGATGATCTTAATTAAATAAGACCATCTTCACCGAGACAGTCTTAAGCATTACCTTGAGCTTCGACTATGAATACGGCCCTGTGGGTTTGAACCCCCTGCTAGTGGTTGGTTTTTGGTTTGGTGCTCTTTTGGCTCAGTAGACCTATAAAGCTAGTCCATACGCTATTCTATGTCTTTTTAGGCGATTTTTGGCGATCGTATGGTACATATACCAAAGTGTACCAAACTATAGTTCGAGTGACTTCAAATTATAGTTTGGTACACTTTGGTACATGTACCATACGATCGCCAAAAATCGCCTTTTGATAACAGGTTTAAAACCGTGGATTGGGTTCCTGACGCCAAGCCACGGAGTTGTACATTTGTTTAAATTAAAGATAATAATAAAGAAAGTGGTGTAAAACACCGACAATTGTCCAAAAATATTCACTACGCACATCCAACCGATATGGCTGATGCAATCCAACTTGTGCTTTGCTTTAACAGCTAAGGCTTTTAAGCATGAACCAACACTTCTTCATCCCCCTGCTAGTGAAAGACCAAACCTTGAATTGAATTAAGATCAAGATGAGATACGCTCAGTTAATAATGGGACCAGCAGGTAGTGGCAAGGTAATTAAATTGTATATATTGTCTTTATCAGTCTTAAGTATTGGAATTTTTTTATAATTGAAACAAATATTAATACAAAAATTTAATATCTAACAGTCCACCTATTGCTCTGTTATGCAACAACATGCTGTTGATTTGAAAAAGTCGGTGAATGTTGTGAATCTAGATCCTGCAGCTGAATATTTTGATTATGAGCCTGTAGCTGATATAAGAGATTTAATTCAATTGGACGATGTCATGGATCCTGAAGATGGTTATGGTTGTGGGCCTAATGGTGGACTTGTACTTTGCATGGAGTAAGCTTCTAACTATTAAATACACACTATATATTTATATATTTATACTATATTACTATATAAATATATACAATAATATATTTATATATTTACATTGCACAAGTTTGTTCTATATAGATATTTAATTGAAAATGCATCTTGGTTAGAAGAGAAATTGGGTAATGTGGACGAAGATTACGTGATATTTGACTGTCCAGGTCAAATTGAGTTATATACTCACATGACTGTGATACGGCAGCTGATAAGTATGCTGCAGAAACTTAATTTTCGTATATGTGGTGTATTTTTAGTGGATGTTCAATTTATGATAGATGCGTCTAAATTTCTGTCAGGAACTCTAGCTGCTCTTAGTGTAATGATAAATTTAGAAATTCCACATGTTAATATCCTCAGTAAGATAGATCTCTTGTCCAAGAATGCACGGAAAAAACTGGATAACTATTTAGATCCTGATCCACATAATTTATTAGCAGATTGTGAGGAGAATTTCTGGAATGAAAAGTATCACAATCTTACAGAAACTCTTGGTACAGTTATAACGGATTATAGCTTAGTGCATTTCTTGCCACTAAATATTAAGGATGAAGAGAGCATTACAGATATTAAAGTGACAATTGATAATACTATACAATATGGTGAAGATACAGATGTAAGAACTAGAGACTTTGAAGAACCATGTGAAGATAATGCGAATTAATATTAAAATAATAAACTTTTATCTTTAAAATTAAAAGGTTTATTTCAATTTTATTGAAAAAACAAATACATATATAAAATTTTGAAAATCATACAAAAAACGCTTAGAAAACTTCCCTCTTCACAATGCTCGTACAGCTCGCGCAGCTGCTATTTACTACTAGCAAGTGTCGCGTGCGCAACGCTCTTGTCACTTCCCATTATGCTCTTTCTAGGTGTAGATTAAAGATTCTTTTGTTAGATAAAATAAACAATTTTTTCAAAAAACAAAAACTAATTTATAAAAAAAACTTTACATCTACATCGTAATTTTTTTATACATACATATATTTCATTTAAAAAAATATCTACTTATCTCTCAAAACATCATCTTCAAGCGTAATTTTTAAGAGCGTAATTGTTAGAGCATTCAAACAATAAAATATTCCTATTGAATTTTAATCAGTTTTCAATATTTTGAGTACAAATGTCATACATCCGAACATAAGGATTGAACCATCCTGGAGAATTCCGCCACCTTCACCACCTTCCTCTAATTCATCTCCTTTGTTAATTCCTCGATTTGCTTTTGTGTAACAGTTGCAATTTTTGTCATCATTGAGATTCTGTTGCAAGTGACGGTTTTTCTCATTGATATCTTTTTCCTTTTCCAGAGTTCGCAGCAATACTGGATCATTCTTGTCGCAATTGTTACTATATTGATCCTTTATTCGTTTGGGATCGTAAAAAACACTGTACAGTGTATTATCTACTACTGTTCCATATTCGCTGTAATTGAGTATTTCGAAACAGTTGCTCAACTATATATAAGAAAATAATAATAATATTAAGAATCAACAAAAAGAACATATGCCACATCTCGAATCAAAATCGTACATTCGAATTTCTTGATTTATTTCTACAGCATAAAATTATTCTTTTAAAGATTTTTCAGGATGTTTACTTACTTTATCATAAAACAGTATTGCGTGTATCGAGGATATGAATCTGCAGTTACTGTACTCAGCTAAAACTAAGTCGCAGTTTGGACCATTGCCAATTTGCAAAACGCTGCGTATGAAAGCTGGTGGTTTATGTTCAGAACCCACAAAACATAATGCGGCTCTAGCATTTGGATCTAAAGAAATCAAGAAATTTAAATCCATATTGTAAGTTTCTTGACATAGTTTTGGCTCTTCGTCCGGATGTATTAGTTGCCAAATTGCTTGTGACGCCAGCACTTCCAGTGCTGATCTTTCTAACAACTTGATGCCTTCTTCAATACTAGAACCACGAGCTGGATTAAGTCCATACTTATAACATATTTCGTGTAGATCTGTATATTCGTCTTTTATACCACTCGCACTTTCAGTCTTTTGTGGATCATAGTCGCCATTTAGTATCGCATGTTGATACTTTTCTGAATCCCTTTTTTTTTGTATTTCCTTATCTATTGGTTTATGTTCTTCTACATCTATAGTTTCTTTGTTTTCCACATTGCTATCTTTGTATAGTTTTTCGATAATTATATGCCGCATATTCTCTCTTTCAGGCCACAAAAAAATATCAGGTGGCTGATGCAAAGGTTCTAATTTTATTGGATTCTTGTAATAATGCTTTACAGCGCCAGGAACCGGCGGATTTAGCGGCAAGCGATTTCTAACTTTTCCTTTTGTACGAAATATGGGATTTGTTCTGCGAGCTTTACGTAAAAAGTCCATCTTCACTGCATGCTGATCTATCGGTTGATTGGCGTATTTATCCCAGAGCTTCATACGTTCTGTTGCGCTACAAGATCTTACCAGGTTTTGATCTATGAAGTGATTTGGATGATTGGGACACATCCATCTGCCAGTAGGCATACAAGTTAGCGGAGGGTCCAAGCAATCCAAATGAAAATATAACGGGCAATAATCACACGGGAGTAAAGTCGCTTTCATACAACTGCGTCGACATTGAAAACACAATCGAGGTGGCAATGGAACCAATAAATTACTATCTAAGCAATGACTTCTATCAGCTAAAAGAAAATAATATGAATTACATTTAATAAACAATTGTAGGCTCTTAAGTTTCAAACTAATAACGCAAAATTTAAATGGTCATGAGAATCAAATTTGTTGCGGAATAAATAAGTAAATAAATAAATAAATATATATATATATACATGTGTTTATATTACACTCACGTGTAAATTTTTACACGTAAGTTTAAATTATATTTAATATGTAGAAATGTTATAATCTGAAACAATTATAATATTACTTGATGCTTTAATAAATACAGATATTTTTATAAAAAATTAATGAAGAAAAAATTATATAAATCATTCCTATTATTATCAGAGAGAAGATTGAGAGCGGCCATTCTATTGTAGTTTTTTACTACGGTTTCAGCCGCTGGTTTTAGCGGTATCCACAAAAGTGGATTTCAAATGTTCTACATTAAACGCAAGTCGCAGGTCTCATGGAATTGACTAATCGCATAGTCAAATCAACTAATCGACCAACGTGATTGATCAGTTCCACGAGACCTGCAACTTGTATTTAATGTAGAACAGCCTTTGAGATTCACTTTTGAGGATATAGTGCTAAAACCAGCAGCTGAAACTGTCATAAGAAACTATAATACAATGGGATGGCTGCTCTCAGTCTTCTCTCTGCTATTATTATAAATATAAAATATTTTTACCATTATTTGAGGAGTTTCCATATCTTCCTCTTCTACCAGATACATAGTCAGTCTTACTACTTCCTGGGAACGTTATAGGCATCTGTAACTCTCTGGGTAGTTCAAATTCCCTTGGACTCACCATGGCAGCTGCTAATGCTAATATTTCCAAAGGAGATTTTTTCTTATTTTTTTCTTTTGTCTTACTGTCCTGTTCTCTTTTTATGGAAGTACGAGTGCAAATGTAACATACCCATTCTCCATCTGGGATATCAGATGGATCAATTGAGGGATAGCTAAAGCAATAATAATTAGTCACAAATCTTTATAAGTTACAAGTTTCATGTTACAGGCAAAGCAATACAAAAATTAAGGAAAACTTTTTACTGGCACTGTAAATGGTATGATGCTGGACATCTATCACAACATATGAGTTCTCCTCCATCTTTACAAGCGTCACAGTAGTCATGGTTGTGACCACGACCTCGTCTTTTAAAATAAGAATGCTTCTTTTCTTCTTTTTCTTTCTTTGCTTTTGCAGCTTTGTATTCATCTGATACTGGAGGTGCTATAAGAGCTTGCAGTGCCTAAAAAGATAATAGTCTTGAAGAATCAAATATATTAAGTATACAATTGAATCAAGAGATTTCAAAGATAAGTCAAATACATTCATAACTGAAGAAATTCCTGTAAAAGTCCCTGTGCTGCTCATTTTGGGAACAATATGTACACTTTTCTATCACAAAAAGACTTAAATTTAATATTCTCTTGTTTTTACAATATATTAGCCATATATACGTAATATGTTGATTTAAATTTTATCACAGTACATAAGAATTGATATTTAATACATATTTAATTAATTAATTAAACATTAATTGAGAACCACCAGTTTATTCACATACCACCTGAAAAATTACAGAAAGTTTTAAAAACTCAACTACGTAGTTAAATTACTCCGGTTACTGATGCCCTTATGGCTCAATGTAGAATCCCTGTAATGAGTCTGGAATAGGGATGAGCATATGATATCGATATATCGACAATATCGATATAATTCTTTTGATATTCGATATTTTAGTATCGATATTCTGTTATTCATAATATCAAAAGATATCGATAATTTTATTTGATATTGAATATCGCATTGTTTGATCGGAATTATAGGATACATTTTGATTGGTCAATTTCCTTACGGCTACGTCTTACGATCGTAAGTAATTTTGCGTGTGATGGCTTTTAAGGGTCGTCTACAATGGAGAGTTGTAGGCCGTAATAGTAAGAAATTGACCAATCACAGACAAAGTACAGAAGAATAATCGATTGTGATTTGTTAGTTTCTTACTGTTACAGTCTAAAACTCTCCATTGTAGACGACCCTTTAAGAGCTGTATACAATGGAGAGTTGTAGGCCGTAATAGTAAGAAATTGACCAATCACAGATAAAGTACAGAAGAATAATCGATTGTAATTTGTCAATTTTTTACTGTTACGGCCTACAACTCTTTATTGTAGACGGCTCTTTAAGGGTCGTCTACAATGGAGAGTTTTAGACTGTAACAGTAAGAAATTGACAAATCACAATCGATTATTCTTCTGTACTTTGTCTGTGATTGGTCAATTTCTTACTATTACGGCCTACAACT